ATAATATCATTGAATAAGAAAAACGATTCTGAGCGGAGACGGTATGTCAGTCTAGGTATATGACATATTATATACATTATACAATAAACATATCTAATATCTATGGTATTAAACAAAAAATTTACCTATAATAGGTACCTACCTATAATAAATTCAAAATTAATCATATCACAACATCCATTAGGTACTTATAACGCGTTATACATCAACAAAAACCGTGGATACTATCATAGATATATAATAGTACACTTTAGAAGTTTCAAGTACCCACGAATAATATTATTCAATCACAACAAAATAACTAAAATAGTTATTCTAGGTTTTTTAATATGTAATTTCGTCCAAATTTGAATTTAAAATGTCTGTAAAAAATAACTGTGTTCATATATTTTTTAGATTTTTTGGTTACAGTAGATATGAACTATTTACGAGAACCTTTGTTTTAAATTTGCAATCCTTAGCTATAAAAACTGAACATTTTATAATTTATTAATTACAATGATTGATAATTTTCGAGATTTTGATACATTTTGTCAAAATTCCAACTTTAAATGCTTATAAAAAAAAATTGTGCCTATGTATTTTCAATGTTTTTGAACTAATATTGTAACAATATATCAGGAGTCTTGTATTACATTTTTACACTTTTTGGCCCAACAGATAAAACTTAATTGATATTTATAGAAAAAAAAAACTAAAAAAATTTAAAACTAAAAATGTTCGTAAACAGCTCAAAAATAGTCAAAACCTTTCAAAACTTTTTGGTGTATAGAAAATGCTAATTTAAACATTCGTTGAAATTTTCATATATCTACAGTTATTCGTTTTTGAATTACAACAAAATACGGAAATCGCTACATGAGAAATCGAGTGAATATCCAATGTTGTAAAAATATGAATTTCAAACGCTCATAAAAATTTAATTTGACTCTTTGATAGACATTTTTTTTTTTGATAAAGGTAGATAATCTTATAAGGAATCTTGTATTACATTTTCAAATCTTAGATTTAAAAAGAAAAATTTTTACGAATTCTTAACTCAAAATAATTTGCTAATTTTCGTGATTTTTCCATATTTTGTCAATTTTTGAACTTTAAATGCTTATAAAAAAAATTGTGAGTAAGGATTTTTAATATTTTTCATCTGCCTTTGAAACAATATACTAGGAGCCTTCTATTAAATTTTCAAGCTTTCGCAACCAACAAATAAAATTTAATTGGTATTTTTAGAAAAAAAATGGAAAATGAAAATGTCCCTAAACAGTTCAAAATAAATCAAAATATTTTGAAAATGTTATCGTTTATAGAAAATGCAAATATAAACAACCAGTGAAAATTTCATGTATATACGTTTATTTGTTTTAGAGTTACACCAAAAACCAAAATCTATTTTTTGGAAAACCGATTTTGCGTAAAAATTCCCGTTTTTCCTTAATTGTTATGTTGTTTTTCCCAGCGCTTTTGAAAACTACTGGGAAATTTTTACTTTTGACCTCCCAAAGTACCAACTAGATTCACTTTCCTATCAGAAAAGATACTGTTGAAGAAAATCCAAGCACTTTTACTGTCCTAAACCGTGATGAAAGGCACAAAAATTTAAAAAAAAAGAAAAAGAAAAAATACACACATCATTGTAAAATCAATTCATTCATCGTTTCACTCAGAATCTAAAAGGGGGAAAAAAGCGTTGAACATACGAAATATTAATCTAAACCTATTTTCCTGTTCGTCAATTAAACACTATTATTGTTTTAAGAAGAGGGTAAACGAGAGCTCGAAAAGTTTGGTTAAATGCTCTGTGGTGAGGATATAATAATACCAATATGCTATAACTGTAGGTATATAAATAATGTACATATTCATTTAGAAAATCCAATGCTTATTTTTTCAGAATTAAAATTGGACATTTGTCATTTGAGCATTAATTATTTCAATACAAATTACTACGGTCTACTGATGAATGTAAATAATATAATAATATATTTATTTATACAAAGGCGTTTGCCACATTAGGTTTAGAGAGGACATACGCCACGGCCACATACTCCGACTTACCTACCCCTTACAATTATATAATCTTGTTTTCGTCGGTGTACTTTTTGGCTAGCCGACTGGAGTCCCAATGGTGCAACTGGGGTTAAAATATTGGGAGGGCTGTATCCCCCACCTGATATTACATGAAAAGTACCTAACCCATCACCCCGATACCCCCACTCTCCCCATATATATTCACTTAAAAATATAAAATAATTATAAACTTTAAATAAAAATTTAATAATTTAATTATATGGGTTGTAAACTCACCGTCAAAGTAGCATAAATATAATATAATCAGTAAGCTTATCTGTGGCTATACAACACATACAGTATTAGCCATTCAATGATAAATTCTTTGTTTAGATCTCAGATGGTCACATGTAAACACTATGTTTTGACTGATATGTTATGTGTATTCACGTTGACAATTGATATCGATAAATGAAAAAATAATAATGGATACAGACGTAAATTTTAATAAATATAATATGAAATAGGTAGGTTACAACCTAGGAACTAGGTATAGATATCCAATTTTTTTTTAGTTAATAAAGAAATTGCGAAAATTCCCTATAATAAGAGTAGATAGTAGGTATGTAGGTACTATAGTAGATACCTACAGTGCGCTGTTTATAGATTTTGAGACACTGATTTTCAGAAAAATGTTTATGTATCGTACCTATAGGTTTTCTCACACTAATCTTATTTAATTTTAAACTGTACCTAATTAAAAACTTAAAAATATGGATTTTTTTAAACAATAATTATCATTAAACTAAAATTTTAAATTTTAAATTTAGTGACCCTGTGTTCCTATACGATCTATAGACGTTTTTCTGCTGAATTTAAATATCTTTTAAAAATTAAAATTAGACGATATTAAGTAGGTATTAACTAACTTTAATTACGTCAAAACAACAAGAAGTTGCAGTATACTATTTGCATAGGGAATTTTATAATTTTATATTATTATCAACTTATGTTGTTTTGTGCATGTGTGTACCTATGATAAAGACATTTTCGGAATCTTTATTCAGTGGCTTATCCAGTTGTTAAATAATAAACATCCCCCCTCCCCCCACCGCAAAAATTCTGGATTCTCCACTGCTCTCAATGGACCCCACTTGGAACTGACACATAAGCTGAAATCCATTAAAATTTCAGAGGGAAAGTTACATCAATGAACAATAATTATTAACAACCAACAAATAGGGCGGCGATGTCGAGATTAGACTGATTAGAGATTGCCTGACTGCAGATCCTTGAAAAAAAAACATGAGTCCGCCGTAAAATTATATCTGTTATGTGAGGAGTTCAGTATAGGCAATTGTAATGACATTTTAAGAAGAATTTAATGATTAAAAGTATTTTAAAAGTACCAGTAAGTCAGTAAAAACAATGGTTGTTGCGTAATAATGAGATTAAATGGTTTCTTGAGAAATAAACTTACGAATAACATTATCTCTCAAATAAAAAATTATGTAAAATGTTCAGACTTTAGAGAAGAGTCCTTCTTAAGTCCATAAAGACAATATTATTGTATTTATCTGGGCGCAAATACTTATATTAAATTTATAAACTAATATATAATAATATATTATGCCTACTATTATAAAGTATAAATGTACCCACACACTGCAGTGTGTGGGGATCTTAAATTATAAAACATTGTTTATACATTTTCCAATAAAATAATGTTTGAACATTTTTGTTTTTAGGAGTAATCATTTGTACAACAATTTTACCAGATACTAACCCTACACCTCCACTAGAATTTCCATCAGATGGACATATCAGGATTATACAAGCACCTGAACCTTATAATTTAACTCAGCCACCAATGTTTTATTTTGGAAACGATGACACGATAACGGATGGACCAATTAACAATTTTCAAGAAACAATGGAAAATCGATTTAATGATGGTGTATCAAAGCAATCTTCACAACCTATCAATGTCATTGCTAAGATATCCGAAAATTATACTGAAAATTATATCGAAAATAAATATTACAATAATCACATTGATAGCTGGACATCAATTACATTAAGTTTAATTGTACTTACAGTAATTGCGGTCATGGTGCTGGCATGTTCGGCATTATGTTTGAAAAAAGTTCAAAAGTGAGTATTTTACTGTATTAGAATTTAGATGTATTAACTATGTTCTTTGGGGAGAAAAATTATTTTTATAAATAAGCGAACGAGTATATGAACAATAATTAGATTATAGGTGTATATAGGATTATTATTTATTGTACTTATTTATATGTGTATAGCTTTAATTAGCTTATCTCTTTGAGTACACATCCATACATCTTAAGCATAAATTTATACTTTAAATTAATACCTGGTTAAATTAATAAATAATTAAAAAATGAACTCATAATTATTTTTCTGTAATCATTACATTTTTTTATAGAGCTTTAATTAAAAAAAAAAAACAATTAAATTTACAGCGAAATATTGGTATCAAATGTATAAATGAATACAAATGCAAAAAATAGCAAAATATTGGATAAATAAATAAATATTAAATGTATAATACATTTGTAATATTAAGAAACTGACATTATTTTAACATCAAATAACTTGTTATTTATGAGATTTAAAAGATAAATTAGTATAGAAATGCTTTATTTTTACAATGATATTATGACAAGATAGGTTTCATTTTTTTTTTTTAAAAAAGAGGATAATAAGGACTAATAAGCTTCAACCATTATTTTTTTAGCTTGAAGATATCAAAACGAGAACTGCTGATAGAAGATTGCGATGACTCTGTAATGAAAGATTTAATACACATTCAGCGTGTATAAATTATTTACCATAAATAAAGAAATATAATATATCAATAAATGCAATGTATTCTATTTAACTGAATGAAAACAAAAGACTAAACTAGAACAATTAACAAACATTTATATAAATGTATTCAATGATTTCATACTAGTAATAATTATTTATTTTTTCTTAATTATCAATGGTCCAACATTGTCCTTCTGTTCAATGTTGTACTTATTATGAGCACCATCACATAAAGGAAATTTAGAGCTTCTCCAACAACGACAGAATGCTGTACTTTCACCTAACTCTTCGATGTCATAACCGTCAACCACTTTTGGAGATTCTTTTTTAATACAAGGGTTAACAGGCTACATATACAAAAAAAAAACAACATGAATATTTATTAAAAAAATAATTTAATTTAGTACTTACATGTCTTGGTTTCACAACTCTGTATGAAAGGTAACATACACCACCAATTGTAGCATAAAACGGAATTAATTTCAGTATATCTTTACCTATAAAATACAATTGGTTTAGTTAAATATATATAATCTGTTCAGAATAATTAAGATTACTGAGCAGGTACATTATATAATTTTAAAGGTTAGACTATATTATATTAATTTTGTAAATTGTAAGCAGTTGGTTGCATTTAAATTAATAAACATAATATTATAGTAAAATAATTATATAAATATAAATTTATATAAAGGGGGCTCCGTTAAAAAGTTTACTAGGTTTGACTAAAGGTGATTTTTAATATTCCAATTATTGTTAGTATCATAATGAATAACATAAATATAAAAATATTATATTTTTATTTGTGGATATCACAGATGAAAAAATAGATAACCAGAATTGCCTCAACAGAAACCTAGTAAACTTGGTCATCTATGAAAATCAGTTTTAAAAATTGAAATCCTTCAAATCAAATTCCTTCAGTTTTAAGTTTATCTAATTTAAAATCATTGCCAATGCCCTATGCGTATGCAAGTTAATAGACAGCAAATATAAACAATGAATGACCTACTAGACGCTTACTATTGTAATTCAGGACAATTCTAGGAAATATTTACCGAAAATGATTGAAGATTGAACTCATACATACTAATGTTTGTTTACTTTGCACACCTTACAATTCATTTTAATGTCATTATGTTGAATTTCCTATATTAAATTCCTTAAAACATGACCGACTGGAGCCCCCTTCAGCTTTTAGTTTGAGTTGTAGGAATAAAAACCTGGAAATTGGTGAACGTGTTGTATAGAAGTATCTAAGACTTGTAAAAATAGAATCTTGTTAAAAAACACAATAAAATAAGCAAATGACTTTATCACATGTCATAATAATGAGTTACATGTTAAAATATAATTATTACCTTACAAAACTGTAAGTAGGTGCTAGAGGTGCCTATTTAGGTATTTTATTTTTTTACATGAATGTATAATAGACAATCTTATAACTAAACTAATTGGTTTCATTTCGATAGCTAATCTTACGTGCAAATAATAAGGTAAAACTTTTGTTTTGTTAACAACAACACCATTTATTATAAATACTACCTATATAGTATCAAAGATTTTAAGAATATTTATAACCAATATCAACAAACACAAAACATACATAATTATTTAATTGATTTATAAATTACTTACCACCTAATTTGAAAATACCAAGAAATGAATTTGGCAATGGTAAATTGGCTAGATAGTTGGATAAATGAACTTTCACTAAGTTGCTACTGAATTCCATTTTATTAAAATGATGCTCTTATGTTTGGTTTAAAAATTAAAAGTACCTAACAAAAAAGTTATAAAAATCAATGCAAGGTTTAGTGTAAAAGCATAAGACGATTGATTTTAATTTTAAAACAATAATATATGTTCTGGCTCGAAGATACCTATTAGTTACTGTACACTGTACGGTACTACAGCACACATTGCACACTTGACACTTTAGAAATTAATTTACCTCTCAAGTTCCAATTTCTACTTGTCTGACTTCTGAGTTCTGAAAGTTGAATGTTCTGAATTCTGATAATAAAAAATTAAAATAATAATTTAATGGTTAAGAATAATAAAATATATTTTTACTTCAGTGTGGCAAAATGCACATTAATTTTCGTGTTTATATAACTGATAACAATTTAAAATCGAGAATCGTTAAAAAAAATCGTGCAACAGATTACTGTAACAATGTGAACAATTTCAATAATTTAATGTGTAATAGTACGATAGTTTTAATTCATTGACTTTAAGTTTTAACAATAATACTATTATTATACAAAATAAAACTAAAATAGATGTTTAAAATTTAAAAATAAGCAGCTATGACAAATTTCCGGATAGTTTCTGGTTGGCTACACTGAGATTTTATCTTTTTTGTCAACTTTCAGCTGATTTGTCATCAACTCAAGATGTACCACGAAAGAAGTTTACTGCTATAGTGTACAGTACTGACTATATAGTGACAAAGTGCAATAAAGAAAATTGATATTTGTATTATTTTGTTATTATATTTTTTAGAAACAATTGTTTAAAATTATATTTCAAACTGTTTTGTGTATTATCGTTTGTAAATCGCGTGACCAGCCGATGTTTTCATTGATTATGAATTATAATTATATACCGTGCATTTGAAATACGTATTTTTGAATTTGTTAAGTACAACGAAATAAATAATAGCGACGATGTAGTTATGTAATTATCTATAACAAGTTAAGAGCTTTACCAAGTCGCAGTTGTTTTTTATTTACGGATTGACATATTTGCTGTTACCATGGGGACAATAGCCACCGAAGAGTTTGATCTCATGAAGGATTCAAAATATCGAATGTAAGTAGGCTGCTTATCTATAGTTGACTAACTCTATTGGTAGGTGTTGCTTTTTTTATTGTATAATATAATCTGGAGTGTCAGTTGCATGAGTCATTTGGATTTTTTTAAATTTGTACATGTATCTACCTTAATTTGTTTGGTGTAAGCTAAATTACTTAAAATTTTCCAGCAATATATTATATAACTGACAATTTGTAATAACTAATAAGTAGAAATAACTGAAACATAACAAACATTTTGTTAGACCATATAATTGTTTAAAATAAAGTAGCTATGTAGTTCATGAATCAAATATGGACTTGGGTATATTCCTGTCACTTGTGTTATTTCAATGTATCTTTTCGTCATACCTACCTACCTATTTATTTTCCTGTTTTAATTACTTAGAATTTAAAGTTGAAACAAAGTATCTGATACCTATTTATAATTTTGTAAAGGATATACACTATTTACAAGGTTAATAACTAGAATTAACTTAAAAATATAACAATGTAATATAAGTGGATGTGTTGCCAAATATTTATATTTTTAGTCGTTGAAAAAATATTACTTATCAAGTACTTATTAATGTTAATCCATATAGGTATTCTTTATTGGATCTTACAAGCCTTATATTTATTTAAAATTGTTTATTGTTAGTTAATTTTGGTATGTAGTAACTCGTAATGACTTGTTAAATCTATAATAATATTGTTAACTTCCTAAATTGCGTACAAACTTAGTATTTTTGCAACTAGCTAGGTATTACTGATTAATAAATATTAAATTCAGATTTTATTTATATTCGAGCTTTTATGATGAATAACATTTTTGTTAAAATGCTGATTAGATTTTATTGTATTATTTATGTAGCTACCTATTACATTTGTATATTATGTTATATACTAGCATAATATTATAATATTATCATCTATATTAATATTTATAGTTAACTCTTAACATGTTTTTTCCTTTTAAATGTACACATTACAAAATCTAATTAAACTATTAGGTATTTTTCTGCTATATTATATCTTCTAATTATTAAGACAAGTATTTAAAACAAAAACAAAAAAAAATTTTCCTTCCCCATTGCCTGATACATAAATTGAATTGCAGGTTCGAACACCTTGAAATTGTTTCAAATTAGTTGTTATTTTTATTTTTTTGATGCCAGTACACCACATAAACTCAATCAAATTAGTATCACAAAGAGATTTTTTCACAAATTGTAATATTTGTATAGGTATTGATGTGCACAAGAGTTTAGTCAAGTTTTTATAAAAGTAATGGAAGTTTAGAATGGAAAAGCCAAGTATCAACAGATTTAAATGTAGGTACATATTTTTAAGTACTACACTTTTACATACCCGTGTTCACAATTTTCCAATTTCAATGCTATTTCATGACCATTTGAACACATTCTAGGAGTATGAATAATTTCATGATCTTTGATGAATTGTACAATAGATAGGACTTCAGTCATTGTATATGTTAAACTTATAACATTCATTGTTCAAACATTGTGGCTTACATTAATGTTTGTACTGAACTTAGCAACCAAATGCGATTACTCAAATAACAATAAAACTTATCTCACTGAATATTTTTCTAGATACTAGAATACAAACCTAACAAAATAAAATTACCCAACAATATAATTTATATTATGTATAGAAATGTATATAAAGAACTAAATGTGCTACCTGTTAAAAAAATGTATCTAAAAATTACCGCCATATATTTAAAAAAAACCACATCTGGTAGATATTTTGATATAATTGGAACCAAATTATGTAACAAAATAGTAATACAGTAATACCATGTATAATAAACCTACTTGAAATCTACTAATTAGTTTATTCAAAAAAACATTTTGCAAGGTTTTTGGAATCTTCTGATGAATTAATAATGTTATAGATAATACCGAGTATAATACTGTATTAATTTACTTCAATCAAATTAAAATAATTTAATTTTAATCATGTATACAAAATAGTGTTATCTTTTATATAATTTGTTTTAAAACGCTTTGGCCCCCACACAACTTTTCTCAGTGGGGCTCAGTACATATATGTATTTAAAATTAAATAAAAAATAAATAGATAAATATAAATCCATACCCATTACCTATATACTACTATGGGTATATACTGGAACACATAGGCATTTTCATTTTAAATTTTAATATTTGTGCATAACAAAACAGTACCAATTATAACGGTATAAAATCTGTAATACAAATATAAAATAATGCAGGATTACATTTAGGTAACAATGTCAAAATCAGGCAAATAAAATATCAGTTACAATATTTATGAATACACCTACCTATAACAGCATTATGTCGAAACTATTCAAACAATTTCATAAAATGATGTTATTATAAAAAAATTGTATTTAATTTCAAAAATATTTTTAGCAATATATTTTTTACACAATTATAATAATTAGGTATCTAATTAATCAAATACATTAAATATATCTTCTCATTTTCCTCCTTGGATTCTATATTATTGTAAGTTATTATTTATGTACCTATGTGTGTTTTAGATTATTAATATCTAATTCTATAGATTTCCTGAATTAAATATAATTCACAATTTAAATAATACATTGGGGTGGGTAATTTTCATGTATCTGATTAATTGAACCTATTTATAATAACTAGTTTAACATAATATACAGAATAGGTACCAAAATCACTTTAAAAAATACGACTGGTTGAAATATAACTGATAATATACCTATTTATTTACTAAAGGTATTTACATTGAATTAATTATACTAAATTATAATGAAAACCAGTTTAATTGGAAACATTAAACCGCATCATATTATAATTATTATTATTATTTAACAAACATGTAATTTTAGATTCTGAGTAGAAAAATGGAATGTATTGATTTTATAATAATTTGTGTTTATTTTTTGTGTCTGTCATCACTCAACATTCAACAACTTATGAATCATTAAAAAGGCTTTAATTTTCAACTTTGTGATTTGTTTCTGGTCGTACATTGGATCAATAGTATGAAAAACACAATACAAATAAAGGAAAAATTTGAAAAAATCAATTTTGTTTTACGGTGTACCTATAGGCCGTATTCATGATCGATTCTTAAGAGGTCGCTACTCGCTACCCATACATTTGTTGTCTCTGTCTTACACACTCATGATATAGCAAATTGTTGTTCACTAGTTTCAATAGTGTGCTGTTAGTTTTGATACTAGAGTGAATTGACCTATTATAAAACTTTTAGGTAAGAAGATTATCTGTGCTTAAGCGTTGCCTATTTTTTTTCAAAATTTTCATTTTCAAGCAAGATATGGGTTAGGTTACCTATATCAATTATCAAAAATTAAAAATGCTTAAATCTCTTAAATGAATATTTCGAAAAATCGGCAATAACCTATTTATAATAGGTCAATTCACTCTAATATCAAAACTAACAGCACACTAGTGAATGACAATTTGCTATGTAGTGCGTGTGTAAGACAGAGACAAAAAATGTATGGGTAGCATCCTCTTAAGAATAAGTATTGCTTAAGCTAAATTTATGACTCAAATGAGATTCATAAATGAGACTATCTATTTTGTAGATGTTTATCTTAAGTCTTCTATTTAATATTATCATATTATATTATGCAGTTATATTATCAATATTGACGCTGATATGGTTTATTTTAGCACTTTTATTCAAATTAAATTATATAAATAAATATAAAATTTTATAACCAAATTTAGGTGGGTATTGGAGTGGGTACTAGTAAGTTTTAAACCTTTTGCAGTTTTTTTTAGGAATAATATTAGTGCAAACAACTTATTAGTACCATTTTTTTTTATATTAGAAGATTACATTGGTTTGTATTTTCAAATTGTTGATTAAATCATGATATAAACAACATGGTATGATCTCAAAAGTCTAGATTTGG